ACCCTGACACATATGATTGAAGAATCTCACCCTGAAGCCCTGTAAACCTTACACATCAGCTGACAGAGCTCACTCTTTCTGCAAATGCCACCAGAGAATAATGCCCATGTAAGTCTTTCATTCTCTTGTAGTCCTCTCATTGGATAATTAACTAGGGATCCTGCCTTCAAGGGATCCTGCCTTCAAAGTATCCTGGGAAATGTAATCTTAGGTTCTTAGTCCAGAGAGAGAGAGACAGAGACAGACAGACTGACAGACAGAGGAGGACCAAGAATGGTACTGAGATGAAAACTTACTGATCTCAATTTTCTGATTATCTAACTGATTGTGTAAGTTTGTAGTTTATACTGAAAAGAGAATGAATTAAAATGTTTTCATATATAAATCAAAGAATTTCACAAAGAAGTTCACTTTCCCCAAAGGGTTCCTTAGTCTAATTTCCTTGTTAGCATCCTCAAAATAATCTGAAATAAAAATGGTTATTAAAATGTTTTCCGAGCTTCTAAAACAACTGGACATTCGATTTCTCATCGGTACTTAAATAGCACCGAGAAACAATAATAAAGACACTTAATATTTATCTGGTACTTTCACCGTTGATTACCATATTTCCCTCCAGCCCACCAAAGGGAAAAGAAAAGTCACAAGACACTCGTCTCCTTGCTCTAAGCCGAATATGCTACAGATCTCCCGTGTCTGTGGGCATGTATCCGCTCAGCTGAAAATGTCCTTCATTGTGGGAATTCTTCCCACACGGCTCTGCTTCCTCCTTCAAGGGACAGAGTGGGGCCCTGGGGTCATGAATAGGCAGCTCCTTTGTGCAGAGCTGGTGGTGTAAGGGTCCAGAAGTCAATCGGTAGTCCAGAACTTGAGGCACAACCTGGGTTGGGTCTGCTTACTTTAGGGAACTCACCCTTGGTTAGCCACCTAGTTCCCCTATGCAAAGTAGAATGGGAAAAAGATATCACATAAAGTTCTCTGTTTAATAAAACAAAGTCATACTGTACCCTTATTTATGGGAATGTCGTACTGCCTTTCTATTTTTTATCTTTTATCTTCTACTATCTATCTTTTCACTCGGTCCTTGCCTCGCTTTCCCTCTACCCTCCTCAGCCCCCCAACCTTGTTGGCTTGCATGTTACTATTCTAATGGCTAGAGAGCCTTGATAAGCAAAACGTTTAGGCAAAATGTCCTTGCTTTCAGGGAGCTTAAAAATCAATGAGGCAGAAAGACATCATGCCCATTAACTTGGACATCTATAACTATCGTAATATTACTACAGTGGTGACGCTGCATTTCTGTAGTTTTATAAAACATCAGAAATATGGATCTGGATATGTCAGAGAAGAGGAATGGATCTAAGACAGCCGCCCCCCTCAAGAATGAACAGATTTCGAGAGCAGTATGGAGGTTCCTCAAAAGACTCCACATAGAGCTCCCCTAAAAAGACTCCACATAGAGCTCCCCTATGACCCAGCAATCCTATTTTGGGGCATTTACCCAAATGATCACAAATAAGGCCACACTAAAGCTACCAGCACAACTATGTTTATCACAACATTTTCACCACAGCTAAGATATGGAACCAACCCAGATGTCCCTCAAGAGATGAATGGATCAAGAAAATGTGATACACACACACACACACACACACACACACACACACACACACACACACACACACACACACATACACAATGGAATTCTATGCCTCCATCAGAAAGATTGACATTGCCCTATTTGTTAGGAAATGGAAAGACTTGGAAAAAATTATATTAAGTGAAGTAAGCCAGGCCCAAAGAAACGTAGGTCCCATGGTTTCCCTTATTTGCAATAACTAGTATATGTCTAGGACAAGCAGAAGAGGTCAAAAGCTATGCACATATGACCATATAAGATGATGTTCAGCGAAATGAACCCTGATAGAGACACAAGTGGTTTTTTTCTTGCTTGCTATTGTTTTTAATGTACTTATAATGTACTATGTGATCTTTTTTGTTTCTTTTGTATGTTCTTCCTCCGAGGTATAGCCCCTGTTTTCATTGTATTTGATTCCAGTGCCCTGCATATAACTTGGGGAGGGGAAGGGAAATAACAAAATGCTGAAATAAGGATACAGGTTGACCCATTGTAACAATGAGATGTACAAGACACTATGTTGAAAACAAACTTTACAACTTGGGGGGAAGGGAGGAGGTGGGGAGGGAAGGGATGGTAGGGGGAAAACAAAGGAGAGGGTAACAATGCTAGATAGGAAATGTACTCATCACGTAACTGTAACCCCTCCCTCTGTATTTTACAAATATATATCTATGTATGTATGAGCAGGGGAGTGGGGTTTGCACTGATAAGCTGAATTTTCTTAAGGAAGAAGGCGGAGGACACGCAGGCTTCCCACAGCCGTCAGTCTCAGCCAGAGGGGCTCCCAAAGGAATCCGCAGAACTTCCCTCTACTCCCTTTTCTTTCTCGTAACATTATGGACACCAGTGCTTCACGTCCTGGCAGCTGAGTTGAGAATTAATGAGAAAGGAAAATAGAGTCACAACTGAGTGCCTAGGAGAGGAGACGTAGGAGGATCATTCTTCATGGAGAGCGCGAAGGTCATCTCATCACAGTTTCCATAGTTTTGTGACCTTGAAAACAAGGCTACCAACCTCTCAGAGTTGCTTTAAGAAGTCAGTGAGTAGCCAGGCGCCAGTGGCTCACACCTATAATCCTAGCTACTCAGGAGACTGAGATATGAGGTTGTGGTCCAAAGCCAGCCCAGGCAGGAAAGGCTGGGAGACTCTTATTTCCAATAAACCACCAGAAGACCAAAGTGGCGCTGTGGCTCAAGTGGTAGAGCCCTCACCTTGAGCTGAAGAGCTCAGGGACAGCGCCCAGGACCAGAGTTCAAGCCCCGTCACTGACAGAAAAAAAAATTTCAATGAGCAATGAAACAAGTAGGTTTAACCAGTGTTAGCTCTCTGTTCTCACTCACTTTCTCCAACTGGTTTAGAAACTATGTCCCTCCAACACTCAAGAGACAGCCCGAGCTGACTAAGACAAAGCTTAATTAGAAAACTGCTCTTATGGATGATAGAGTGTAAATCTTAACTGAAATGACATTTAAAGAATGAATTTATGAAAGGGCAAAGCAAGTGAGCGGAGTAATTAAATGTGAGTTAGAGCTGGCTGAGCATTTCCAAAGGGGAAGCAGTCCTTGAGTCGTGAGCTATCTGTAGCTGTTGAAGTGACAAAGAAGACTTCGCATGTGTCAAGGCTCTGGGGAAGCTTTGGGATGCGACTGGACACTGTTTACACTCATGCTTTATTCTTACTGGGACAATATAAAGACAGCATAAAGGACACGTTAGAAGGACAATTGGACACATGGAAGGGCAATTGTAACAAGGAAAAGCAATGGTGGCAAGCTTAGGGACACAAGTTGCAAAAGATGGAGCTAGAGGAAAGAAGAAGGCAGGCCAGAGAAGAACCGGGAGCCCTAGGCCCTGGGTGTATGGTCATGCCATGGATGGAATGAGAAGTGGAAATGGTACTGTCCAATCAACATAGTTTCTCCACATTTAATGATGGAAAGGATCACGTTTTCAGTCCAATAGTGCTGCTACAGTAAAATGCCCCAGGCCTGGTCATTCCTGAACAATTAAGATTCATTTCTCACAGATGTGAATGCTGGAAGGCTCAAGATCAAGATGAAAGCCAGCTTGTTGTCTGCTAAGGCCCTGGTCTTTGCCTCTAGGATGCTTCATCCTCCAGAGAGAACAAACATTTGTGTCCTCACCTGGGATAGCAAGGCAAAAGGGACCTTGCATAAGGTCACTACTCCATGCAAGTGAGCACTACCTTCATGACTTAATTATCTCTCAAGGCCCTCAGTCTAGCAAAGCAAGGGATCGTATCCCCAGTGAGGACACTGCGATTGGGAATATTTACCTTACTCCATTATGCTTCCTTGGTTGACAAATGTATTAGCTTGTGGCCAGACCAGATTTTGATTTTCTGTACCAATCTAGCCTTCTCTGCAGCAAATGTCAAGATACGCTATATAATAAGCTTTCGTCTAATCTTAACCTGGGTTAAAAATCTTTCTCCATATCCTCTTCTATTTCCTGATTAGTACTTTTCTTTTCTACCCAAAAGTAACTCAGTGGCTTCTTGCAGAACAGAAAATAACACTGAATAGAATAAGCAAAATGGGGGAGGGGGGAGGAAGGGAGAGGAAAGGAGAGCAGATCTGAGCAGAGCAGAGCAAAGCAAGTAAATGCGACCATGCTGCTGAAATTCCATGATTTGGCATATACAATGGCTTCCATTTCTTTTTGGTACCAGTCCTGGGGCTTGAACTCAGAGCCCAAGCATTGTCCCTGAGCTATTGTGCTCAAGGCTAGTGCTCTACCACCTCAGCTGCAGCTCCACTTCTGACTTTTTCCTGCCCAGGCTGACTCCAAACAGTGATCCTCAGCTCTCAGTCACCTGAGCAGCTAGGATTACAGGTGTGAGCCACTAGCACTGGTCTTACTTGTTTCCATTCTTGATGGACCTCTCATTACAATCACCTCTTGGTTTTGCCAAGCAGAGACTGATACACTTATGAATGCTATTTGGCAGCTGTGAAAACTGAGACTCAGAAACGTAAAGGGACTTGGCTCTGAAAGATCGAGAGACAGATCTCAAACTGCTGCAGCTTCCTCTACCTCCCAGTTGTGGACAGAGTCTTGGCTTGACAGGAAGCACTTTGATTCCAGACCTTGCAGCAACTGAGTGACCCCGGTGGCATCTTGCAAACCCTGGGCTGGATTTTCTTTTCACTGTCAACTGTGGATACTGAGCTTCACAGTCTCTCCTCCAGGGGCGGGTAAACAACAACTGCAATTGGTCTAAGAAGGCCTTGCTGGACATTCCCGATTTCCCCTGAGTAGAAGATGACAAGGCGTTCAACTTGAATATTATACTATCAGAACTCTCCGTGCTGTTTCCCAGATATGAGTTAGGGGGCAAGCCAAAAGGTGAAGGAGGATACTGGTTTAGTTGTTGTTCTTGAGCGATCATCAAATCATCAGGAGCTCTGGGGTGGGCTTCGCACGCTCCCTCTGTCCCATCACTGTTTGGGTCCTGCAAGTTTCACTTTTGAAGACAAATCAGGAAATGACTTATCAACCCAAAGCCGCCGAGTTATGAGCATTTCTCGCTGCCAAGGAGAAGGGGATTTCATGCAAAGGCTTCACATCTGCGCACCCTGAGTTCAAAGAATCCAGCTGTTGGAAGTCCTTGAGAGCACTGTGAGTAAACAGCCCTCTCTCCAATCCACGCAGATGTCTTCAGGTTCTTTCCCCTCTCAGGATGAGGCCTTTGGCTTCCGTTGGTTTTTCTGTGCATGTGTGATGTTTAGAGGTGTTTACTGACTGAGGCTTAATCAATAAGAGTCTCTGGGGGAGATTTCTGTTCAACGAGGGAAGTGCAAAATCCTCAGGCTCGCCTTGGCTGTTTGAAGAGCTTCCAGCTCAGCAATTGGGCTGCGCTACACACGCATGCTCAAGAGCAGTAGCTCGATGTGGTGGGAGCAGGTGGAAGTGGCTGTGTGTCTTCCCCCTGCTAGACAGAATTGTCACCCAATCAGTGTCTACACAAATTTACACAAATTTAAGATGAGGCTTTGGTTCGATACACTAGGGTTTTAATGGAGGGGAAGTAAAAAATAATATTGAGGGTTGGCGGGGGCGGGGGGGGGGGGGGACTTCTTTGTAGTGGTGTAAGTCCTGTGTTCAATTTACTTTTGGTTGAAGGTGCTGATTTATTTATTGTCTACTTTATGATTAACAAATGTGCTCATGGAGTCACATGGCTGAGTAAAGCCACGATGGCAATGTGGGAGCATTCACACTGAAACTTGAGTGGCAGGAGTGATAGGAATGGAGAACACAATTTCATAAACAAGGTACTGTCGTGGTGTGTGTTTATTTTATGGGTAGTTTAGGTCAGATTGCAGTGAATGGCTAGGAGTAACTGAGGGAATCTAACATGTGGAAAGGATTGAAATCATTTTTGACCCTATATCTTCCTTAAGAATACAAATATCGCGTGCCCGGCACTTGTGGCTCCTAGCTACTCCAGCCAGCAAAGGCAGGAAAACTTTATCTCCAATTAGCTACCAGAAAACCAGAAGTGGCACTGTGGTTCAAAGTGATAGAGCAAAGTCTTGAGCAAAAGAGCTTAGGGACAGTGCCCAGGCAACAAGTTCAAGCCCTATGACCAACTACTACTACTACTACTACTACTACTACTACTACTACTACTACTACTACTACTAAAGAATCCAAGCATCCCTTTTCTCATGTGTAATATGGCTGCATGAGACGTTCACCCCAAGATTTTCCCTTCTTCCTTATCCTCAGACCATTTTAATAATAAGGTTCTGCTTTTCCTTGACTGTACCCAAATGAATGATTCCAACAGTCTCTGACTTCCTTTTTCCCTCTTGAGCAATGTTGGCTCAAATCATGACATCTCGTGACCCTAAGACCATCTCACCGTGGATAGGTCGGTAATGATAGCACATGCGTAAGCCGTGTGCATAGCTCCAGGTGGGAACTCACACAGTCCAGTCCCCACGCAGCCCTCCCTGTGAGCAAGCCCGAGGCACTAGCCTTCCACCTGTGTCCTGCTCATAGCTATCACGGCCTAAGTGCTGAGAGCAGATGTGAAGCATTGTGCCCAATGTGTGTCATTTTCAATTCCCTGGGTAGTTGTTAAATAACTCGGATGCTGATGTATGGTACACCACCTTATAAAATATGAGGACCCAGTTGGGAAGGTGAAAGGAAATTACTCCAGCTTTGGGAAGTATTTATTGAGCATTTGCTACATTCTAGGTCACTGGTTATCTGCATCTTGTCAGCTCTGGGGAGAAGGAGGGCCACTGCTAAGGACTCATACAGAGTCTAACGGGAGGGACTCTGTATGATTCTGAGTTAAATTACTCTGGACCTCAGTTTCCTTGCTATGACATAGAGGTTAGGACAGCAGTTTCAGGTCATATAGGTATTTATTTTTCTCTTTCACATGTACAGAGGTGACTAGCCGTAGTTGATATGCTTTGATAATAATGGGGGAAATGTACGTTTTATTCCTTCTTTATTTCTTTTCCGATGGCACACGAGTCTAAACTCAGGGCATTAGACTTCCTTGGCAAGACTTGACCACTATGTCACACCACCAGTTCTTCTTGTGCACTAATTATTCTGCGATAGGGTCTCACTATCTACTGAGGCAACTGCGCCTGGCCTGTGATCCATCTGCTTTCAGCTTCCTGTCATCGCTGGGATGACACCTGAGGGTCACCACACCCAGGTTCATCCACTAAGATGGCATTCATGGAATTTTCTGCCCAGGCTATGCTGGAAGTGTAATCTTTCTGATCTCAGCCTCCGACATAGTCATTGCACCCCACTATTAGTTAAGCAAGGATCTTGTGTGTATGCCCAAGCTAGCCTTCAGCTGAGATCCTCTCAATCTCAACCTTCCAGCTAGCTAGGATCACAGGCACCAGCTACTGGCACCAAGTGAAATTCCTCTCTCTAGTTGGATTCATTCTCATGCATTCCTTTACCCTGTCCTTTTAGGGACCTTCAAGATAAACATTATCCATCTTGATGACTTTATGAAATCAAGCTGAAACTCAAAGATGCAAAGAAATTCACCCAAATGCCACCTAGCTAGTCATTAACAGGGCTGGGATCCTAGCATAGGTTTTCAAATTCCAAATCCTGAGCTCTTTTTATAACCTAGTGCTCTTTCTTTCTCACCTCAATTTGTGAATGAGTTGGGGTGAGGGCTGTCCCTCTGCTATGGGGACATATTGGCATATTGCCAGTGAGGACCATCAGCTAGACTCCAACACCAGGCCTGGCCAGTGCCTCCTCAGCTAAAGCACAGGCCTGTGCTGTCTGTTGGTAAATTCCCCAGATGTTTGTGAGCGCTTGACAAGTCACTGTCCTTTGTGACTTCTGTATACCAAGAAAGTGAAAAAGTGTCGAATCCAATCTGACCTTCACCAGAAGAAGCAAAGGTGACCTGTTCTGTGAGGGCTAAGAGATTTGGTATTTTCTCTGCATGCATATTTATGGTCAGAAACAATAGTATTCCAGGGTTATTTACTGTCTTGTTTATATTCCAGAACTTTCTTCATCTTTTGGTACATGTCACCTTCTAAGCCCCATAGCCAGCCGAACATGTTGTCATTAATCTCGTGTATCAGGCTACAGAAAGCAGCAGATAAGTAGACTGCTTTCTCTTTGGAGCTTTTTAATCACAAATCAGGGCAACTCAGTAAGAGTTGTCAACAAATTAGAAGAAAAAAATGGATAAAATAACATACGGTAGTAGAAGTTTCCTTAATAAGCTTTTCACAGAGGAACCAGCCACAGAGAATAGTTACTATGCTGAAGATAATGTACTCAAGATGATTTCTCTACAGATCGCTGTGATACAGATAGATAAAAGACACAAAGATGCTGAAACATATGCTTGAAGTGTGGGAATGTCAGACTTCTGAGGAAGAGGTCATGGAAGGCTTTCTGGACTCATTCCCTAGGCTGGCCAATGTTAGGGTTTAAAAGAAAATATTCCTGGCTTTGAATTCTCTCTCAGCTTCAAAACTCCAAGTACTCTGGGCATAGTGGCTCATGCCTGGAATCCTAGATACTTGAAAGACAGAGATTAGGAAAATTATTGGCATTCAAGACCAGTCTTGGTTAAAAAAAAAAAAAGTTAGCAAGTCCTCATTGCAACAAATTAACTATTGTGGTGCTTATAGTTTCAACTACTTGGGAGGAATAGGTAGAAAGATCATGGCCTAAGGCCAACCTAAGACAGAAAAGCAAGACCATATTTGACAAATAACTAAAGCAATATATATATATGTATATATATATATATATATATATATATATATACATATATATGTTCTAGAGGCATGACATAAGTGGTGGAGGTAACAAAGCTGTGAGTTTAACCCCCAATATTATAAACAAAAAGTAAATAAATAAAGCAAAAAATAAAAACAAAAAACACCAAGCACATACCTAGTCAGCTTGCATTATAGACATAAAATAACTCAGCACAATGCCCTAGCAGAATAGGTTCCTAATGCATACAAGTTCTTGTCTTCTTTAGCTCTGGTCTGATCAATCCACAAGAATTTACCTGAGTATTTATTGTGCACTTACAGTATGCTATTCATTTTTCTAGATATAACAGTGAACAAGAGCCAAAGTCTCTGCCATCATAAACTTTACATTTTACAAGAAGGATAAACAACAGAATTATAAGCTGGATTTTGACCGCAGTAACTGAGCTCTAGGAAGAACAGAACTATAGTTATGGCTAGAGTGATTAACAGCTGTCAGGAATAGAAGACTCTTCAGCTAATCCGGCCTCATTGTGGAAGTGACATTTAGCACAGACTTGCATCATAAGAAAACACAATGACACAAAGTTACGGCTATACAACTAACTCATGACCCAAGACCCATCATTGTTCTAGAAATGTTCTAGACTGTTCTAGACCTGTTCATCCAGCACCTAACTGCAGAGCTTGAGAAAGTCTATGGGACTTCCTTCAGCCCAGAAATTGTGTTTGGAATTTATTTTCCTTCCTTCCTTCCTATCATATGCTATGAGTAATTGTATGGGAAAAAAACTCTAAACCAGGCTGGATGACAACAGTTGTTTCCTCATCAAAAATACATTAGTGAGCCCTGAATGAAGATTAATTGATTTTTTAAAAATCTTTAATTACCAAAATTTCTAGGGATTCCATTGTTGGAGAGAAAACAAGGAGGCAGATTTTGTAGGGATGAATTGTATGGCTTCACAATGACTTCATGTGTGGCTGCAAGTCTGAAATTGTATGTATGTTATTGGAGCCAACATGCAATGTTGCCAGAAGCCAGCAGATCCAACACACTATTATCCATGACATGTGTACGGTTTTGAAAAGCAAATCATGGTCTGGAATGTTTCCTTTTTGAAAATGGTGCCCAGACCTCATGTGGATCTGAGGCAGTGTCTTCCAAAATGAAGGTTATAACAGAAAATCTGATTGGGAGGAGTCCTCCTCTTTCCTCTAACTAAACAACCATCACCAAAAGCTTCCTTGCTGCCTGTAAGGACCCAGGTGATAATCTAAGTTCTGCATTTTACAGTATCATGTAGATCTCAACTACAGATCCATGACCAGGATGAAAATGAGCACATGACCAAAAAAAAAAAAAAAAAAAAG